GACACTTGTGAAATATAATATTTCATAGGAATTATTTCAACTTTGTTAAAAAACTGATTCTGACTGAGATTTTGACACTTAAACAAACATATCTCAGCCTAACCGAACGACCGCATTGTGCGAGATGCAAAGTAAAAAAAGTAATCTCATTAGAGAGGGCGCTCTTTATTGACTGTATAAAGTATACATAAAAGCGAGAGTATTCCAATGGATGCGATCTACAACCTCTGAATTTGCCTAGTAACGATGAATTCGTCGAGAAAATGGTAATATTTTATGAGAAATAGTCTGTATTTCTCATTTTTTTTATTCTTTTGCGTAAAACTAAAATTCATGCCAATATTTTTCCATGATTTATAATAATTGGAGTAATGCAAATGCATATTTTCTAAAAAAAGTCATTTTTAGTGAAATTTTGCCGGGAATGGGGCTAACGTTACCCAAATGAGCGCGGTAGCTCCGCCACTTTTGTAAACAAATCGAAATACACGTGCGCAAACCCGTAACTAACGCACGTCGAGCACGTCACATCCTGAAATTAACGTACTCTGCAACAGAAGTTAAATAAATTATTATGTCATCCGGTAACGTAACGGTTTACGTCGTGCGGCGAAAACTACCAAGTAGTAGTTTAGTAGCCTGCGTGGCGCCAGGATTTGTACAACAGTGGTTCGATTTTCCCCCAAGAAAAAAATAGGTGTGGTCGAAAGAGTTCAAGGGGCGAAGTCCCCAGAAAACTTGACAATTTAGTGGTTTTAAAGACTTATTTAATTGATTTTACAGTTTACTATTAGGGCCTTGTAGGCCTAGGCCTATAGTAAATACAAACATTTTTTATCCCCGACAAATTGTGGTTTTTCTCCACGACGGAGGATGGGGGAGGGTTGGTCTCCAGCTGGCACTACCCGCTGGGGCCACCCCATGGGGCAGATGCAGGATTTTTCCTTAGTTAGTTGTGTAAATAATCCACACCACCTCAGTCTCAACCATGGTGTGGAAAATTTTGAAAATGGGCCTCAAGGTGCCTGGCAATTGTACTCTCATACTTTTAAAAAATCTTATTGGTACTATATATTTAGTGATAAAAATAATATATCAACAATACAATACAGCAGTTATGTTTCTTAATACAATTTATTTTTGGGGGTGCAATTGCACCGTCTGCTCCCTCTCTGCATCCGCCCCAGACCCATGTAGTAGCCTAGGAATTAAATTGATTGCAACCCGATATTTCATTTAGAAACCCACACACAAAAAAGAACTAATGTCATTATTGGACACATACTAAAAGAAGAAATTGTTTTAAATTACAGTATAACATGTTTCTTCAGACATTACACCATTTTTGTTTGAAACGTTATTTTTTTAAATTAAAAAATAGAATTTAAATATGAAATGTTTTTGTTTTTCATCAAATAGGGTTACTATGTCCGATAACAACACCATGGCAGCATTGCAATCCACAGAGGATCCTACATGCTCAAAATGCAGTGTGAACAGTGGTTGTGGTCTAAATTTTAAGTGCATGCATTCAATTTGTCTCGAGTGCCTTCGAAACCTCTCTGTAGATGATGAATCCATCGACTGTAGTGTCTGTCAAGTGGACGCGAGTTCAAAACAACTTTCTGCTGAGCATTCAGTACTTGATGCAAGTAGTGTTGCTGATCATGTAGTGGTCGATGAGGACTTTGTTGTTAAGTTAACGACAAAAAGTCACTTCGGCAGTACCGAGTACTGTGAAGATTTTAAGGTAACGTGCAAGCTAACGTTACCGTCATCAGATCCAGAAGTTGAGAAATATTTAAGTGTTGAGGACCATGAGAATGGGACTTACAGTCTTTCTGGCTGCTGTGATGTGCTTGGTGAATGGGAGCTGTCATGTTATTTTAATGGTGTGCCAATCAGGCAGTCACCTTTGAAAGTAAATGTAGTCAAGGGAGGTTTACAGGATTATCCAAATCTATTCAGAGAAAGAAAGAATGTCTTGTATATGTTTGATATTGTTGGTGACACAATTTATGCTTGTGGAGGAGCTAATGAAATTACGAAATTCACATTAAAAGGAAAACTCGTAGGCTCAATATATGGCCCTGCGTCCTGCCAATTTACAAGTTTATGCTGTGCAAATGTAGAGGGCGTTTTTTCGATTGTGTGCTATAATGCACATGCGAAAAATCTTATGATTTACAAGAAAGAAACCTGGCACGAATGGCAAGATGTTAAGATTGAATCTGTTCTTGGTAAATTGACGTCACATGGCGATAAGGTCTATGTTCCTGATTATACAATGAATTGTGTATTGTGTTTTTCTATTGAAGGCGATTTGCTAGAAAAGATAGAAGGCACACATTATAAGACAGTGAACATAACATGTCCAGTTGGTATCGCTATCACACAGAAAGAAGATATGTTAGTCCTTTCATATAACGACTCTCAGGTTGTAGAGTTTGACAACGAAGATCGTAAAGCTGAAATTTGGTTCCGAAATACCACTGAAAATCTGTTGTACTACCCATCTGCTATTGCCATCGATGAACGTGGCCAAGTTATCATTGGTTCACAGAAAAAGCTACTGCTGTTTAGTAAAGAAGGGAAATTTATTAAGCACATTGAAAACATACAGCAACATCTCCCGCAAAATCCATACTGTATTTTTAGCAAAAATAGACGCATTTGGGTTGCAGATAAAAGCGATTCTTCCCTCCGGATCTACAATTATTGAGAACAATTTCTAAACATAATGATCGTGATAAAATCTCTAAAACGCTACCATTCAATGAAAACAATAATTTGTTCATTCATAAAAATAAAAATAAAATAGACCTAAGTTATAATTTCAATGAGATAAATATGCATTTTAGTTTACGTACAGTATATTGTAAATAAGAAATCGTTAAATTGTCTGCTAAACAATTTACTTGTACGTTACACTATAACAAATTAGAGACGGTATTGTTATACAGTTAATTACATTGTACATTATTTAAAATTAAATTTATCATATAAAATACAAAAAATAATAATACAAGTCTATAAAAATGCAAAGGATTGATCATTCTGTATAAACTGAGTTAAGACAAGTTATTCATCTCATACTATTTTCTGATTCTAATTTTCAATTGTGTTCCTAAGAAAAAAGCAAAAAAAATATGTAGTAACATAAACCATTAAGAAAGTAAACTAAAACTGTATTAGGTATACTGTATAAACGATTATACTACTGTACTAGTATATTGCAAATACCAAAACATTGTAGAGAGAAAATACTGTGTAATTTAAAATCGCATACAGATGTTCATTAACTGATCAATATGTAAAAGGGTATTCCCTTATTGACGTCAACACGACCGAAAGGAACAATCGTTATTAAGTTTTTCTTTGTAGATTATTTTGCCTGATTAAATTTGTATTTTAAAATGTAGTTTGATGTGTTGTAAGAAAATATACGCTATATTATTAAGATTTATACAGTAAAGCTAGCGCGACTATATTTCAGACTTTATTGCTTTGTCTGAAAAATAAAACCTGAAAAATGAATCAAAATGAACAAGTTTTATATTTGTAGTCATTATTTTTCATCTAGTGACTCAAAACTTTGTTTCTCCTTGTGGATGAAATAAAGTATGCTGCAATGTACATACGTCATGATTCACTTCTATGTGAAAACTAATCAAATTATAAAAGTAATACAACCTGAGAAGATTATGGTACCATCATCCATTATGACAGAGAGATGTCCCCCATGGTGACAGACTGTATTAATTTTAAGCCCTGCCTCTATCTTTGGCTGTTAGCGTGCGTGTACATTTTAGCTTCTTCTCAATTTTGTATCTCTACCGACATCCAGACATTGTTCCCCATGTCATTGTTGTTTCCCAGTATTTTTTTTACCTGATAACTAACAAATCTGCATTCATCATCATCATCGTCATCCTATAATGTGCATAAACTCGTATGAGTTACAGTATTCGCACAGCATTGGTGGTCATTTATGTTCGCTTAAGAAAATGTACGGATGTAAACACAGTGGTAGCATTTTATAGACTATTTTCAATTATGTATTACACAAGCTTTCATCAGCAGTATATACTGGCTTCATCAGGAGCAGTTGTAAAACAGAAAACATTAAAAATATATCAATTATATCTGAATATCAATTATAAAGCATTAATTTGGAGACTTCGTCTTGTCGTCAGTTGCTGATAAAAAGAGGGCGTATCATTATTGATCGCTCTTAGTGTGGAAGATTAAGTGCTTTGTTCGGATTTGAATTCCCAACAAATCCTTAATGGTTAGTTCGTTACGGCGTATATAGACTGCAGAAGGTCTCGGGTTCGGTTCCCGGTTGGGGCACTACATAGAAAATCGGCAAATGACAAATCAAAACTAAGTAATTACGACGGGCTACCTACATGTGTTACACGTACCATAGAGTAAAATAGGAATAAGCCTCCATTCATTCTGTAGCTACGTCTTCAAATGACAAAAGTGTTCAAACGCTCTAGCTGTTTGGACAAAGTTTTTCAGTTTAAGAGTAGCAATTTGTTTAGTTAGGCGTGCTTATATGGACACACGATTGTATCACACGTTTGTTATCATCACCGCCGCAAAGCCGAGCTATACTACAAGTTTTAAAATGTTCTGAAGTTCATAAATGCATATGTTATCATATTTTTACAAACTGTATTGACGTCGTTCATTTAAATTATGTATATATATTTTTTTTAGTCTATAGATGAATAATACTTAACAGTTTCAACAGTTAGCTTGAGGTTGTAGGCCTACGCATAAAACCAGGTATTCAGAAATAAACGACATAAGCCTAATATAGGCATATTGAATACAGTAATTCATTAAATTGACTGTTAATCTAAAATGGGATTCTATTTGTGTAAAAGTGCGTAACATCATATCTCAGAGTGTTGAAACCTTTGGAGACGATAAATTCTTGTGTTTGGATCTTGATTATGGAAATAAGTGCCCCATGCTGTGTTAAGGTATACCAGGGAACAGATAATTTAACTGTTCCCTTAGTATACTGCCGCGGAGTTAGAGTCTTAAGGCCTGTTTATACTTCAACGATAACGATAACGATAAAAAAAAAAAAAAGCTAAAAAGCAATAGTTCATATAGAAAAGTTGAAGTTATAATGTTGTTAAAATTCATAATTTTATTTTTCTCAAAATATGAACGTAAAAGTCTAGTAGGCAAGAAGGAAATATGTCCCTGTACAAGATGCCTACCAAAGAAACAATGATAAAAGCGATAACATCAACGGCACTAGCAGTAATAATAATGATAACAACAACAACAACAACAACAATAATAATAATAATAATAATAATAATAAAATATTGAAGATGAAAAAAATAGTGAAAGTTAAATATCAACAACAGAAAATTGTTATGAAATAAATAAGGAAAAAAAACCAATAATTATATTAATTTAAGGAGAGAAGACGGATGTAGTTGATTAGTCAAATTAATATTATTAGATATTAGACTTATGGTATTAATTATTATTATATACACAAAATTGCACCAAAGCGCTAAGATTTTGATATTTTTTTCCATTTTGTTTGGGTGGTCTTGATTGAATAAGCAACAATGGTGGCGATTTTCCCTCTTTCTAATTTTCAGCGTATTAGTGGGAATGATGTTCAACACCGACAATACAGTAATAGATGCAGGATTTCGAAATAGAGGGAGGGGGCAGTGGTCGTTTCACACATGGAGGGTCTGGCTCTCCTCTACACCACCTCAGCTATACCATGGCTGGGGCTGAGTCCAACCACCCAATATCGGACGAAATCGGATTAACATTTGGATGGACCAGTACGCGATTTTTTCCCGTACGAAACATTTACATGAAACTCCACTCGGGCCGTCTCGGGTGGTCTTGATTGAATAGCCAACAATAATGGCGATTTTCCCTCTTTCTGATTTTCAGCGTATTAGTGGGAATGATGTTTAACACCGACAATACAGTGATAGATGCAGGATTTCGAAATAGAGGGAGGGGCGGTGGTCGTTTCACACATGGAAGGTCTAGGCTCTACCTCTACACAACCTCAGCTATACCATGGCTGGGGCTGAGGCCAACCACCCAATCCCCCTCCCAATATCGGGTGAAATCGGATTAACATTTGGATGGACCAGTACGCGATTTTTTCCCGTACGAAACATTTACATGAAACTCCACTCGGACCGTCTCGACTGAATCGACCCGAAAATCTCATTGTATTGCAGAATTTAGGTCAAAAGGTCATCAACAACTTCTGATCTGAGGGAACGTCGCTGTCTAATTTTTTAAAATACCTGTACATTGATGTTACCATGCTAATACTACTGGGTCGTTTAAAATGACATATAATATTTGATTGAGCTGCACAAGTAATGAAAAGTGTTATTTGAACTTGAGTTACATACTGTGACGATTTTTATTTTTTAGTTACAGGTCTGGGTTTTGATAATTACCTAGGCCTACTAACTACTAAAAACTATATATACCCTTTCAGGGGAAAGCACAAAGAGGAAAGAAAAGCGCGTTTCTTCATCAAATGAAACAGGGTGACAGTTATTTTTTTTAATTAAGAGAAGAGCTGAAAATAGGCAGCTCTAAAATACTGGATGCCATAAGACCTGGAAAAATGGCAGAGCACCAATGAATGTATAAATGAGGCCTAAGCCTAGTTATTAATATTTTTATAGGCATAGTAAATAGTATCTGCAGGTTCTTGATTGCAAGGCTTAGACCAAGTTAATTAATGCCGAAATTATTATTATTTATTATTATTATTATTATTATTATTATTATTATTATTATTATTATTATTATTATTCATTATTATTATTATTCATTATTCTGTTACTAAAACCTACCTTAAGGGGAACTTAGACAATGGAGAAATTAGAGAACAATTAAGAAAACGACGTTAAGGGAAATAACAAAATGTATTCCCCTTGGACTAGTTATTAAAGCCCCATTCCCGGCACAATTTCACTAAAAACTGACTTTTTTTTTAGAAAATATTCATTTGCATTACTCCAATTATTATAAATCATGGAAAAATATTGGCATGAATTTTAGTTTTACGCAAAAGAATAAAAAAAATGAGAAATACAGACTATTTCTCATAAAATATTACCATTTTCTCGACGAATTCATCGTTACTAGGCAAATTCAGAGGTTGTAGATCACATCCACTGGAATAGTCTCGCTTTTATGTATACTTTATACAGTCAATAAAGTGCGCCCTCTCTAATGAGATTAGTTTTTGTACTTCGTGTCTCGCACAATGCGGTCGTTCGATTAAGGATGAGATATGTTTGTTGAAGTGTCAAAATCTCAGTCAGAATCAGTTTTTTAACAAATTTGAAATAATTTCTATGAAATATTATATTTTACAAGTGCCAATACTAGCAACGGAAAATATCATGTCGGCCGTTTTTATGTGTGATAACAGAACCTAAATCGAGGTAAGGCTAGGCCTAGCCTAGCAGCGCTGGATAGGCTAATGTTTTCGGCGCCTGAAAAATTCATCCGCATTTATTTTTTGTGTGGAACACAAAAAATCAAATTTCAGTCTTATTTTACATTTTTTTCATTCTTAGGAATGTCTAAATTCAGTTAAACTAACAATTCCGTATTATATTTATAAATCTTTATAACATTATACAAAAATTTAATTTTTCTTAAAAACTGAAATTTTGCCGGGAATGGGGCTTTAATTATAGGCCTAGTAAATAATATCTGTAAGTTCTTGAAGGCTTAGGCCCAGTTAATTAATGCTGAAATGATTATTTATATTATTATTATTTTTATGGGTATCGCACATTGGATCAATATCCAATGGAAGTATATTATTCCTGAAGCTTGGTGACTCCTCAAACTTCTAGGACCTTCCTGAGGATCCTTGCCGTGTTCAGAGTCACACTTTTCTGATGTTCATCTAGGTCTCTATACCAATTTGTTCCAGTTTTTTCTTTAATAATAATAATAATAATAATAATTATTATTATTATTATTATTATTATTATTATTATTATTATTATTATTATTATTATTATTATTATTATTATTGTTAATAATAATAATAATAATAATAATAAAAA